GCCGGCTGTGGGTACTGGATGGGACAGATACCCCAACAAGCCAGCCCTCTTACTACAAGATACAGCTGATAGCAAAAAAAAAAAAAAAAAAAAAAGGAAAAGAAATAATAAAAAAGCCCTGAATTCTGTGGCTACACCAGACAATGCAGACAGATGCTAGCTTCAAAGTGTTAAAGAAAGTGACTTACAGCCAAAATTTCAATTTCACTGCTTTTCTGATGTAAATTGGCAAGGGTAGTCTGAAGTCGGGTTTGTACCTAATAAGAAAATGGAGTTCAGAGCATGTTAAACCAAGCCATCTATCTTATTTCCTGTTCCAGAAAACAGCAGGGCAACAAAGCCAGGGTTAGAAAGGATTCCAATAGAACATAAAGATTTGATACACGCTGGAGGGAGTTGTTATGTTGCCCACGTGGGCCTTCCACTTGTGATCTTCCCAAGTAGCACACCACCACAGATGGTTTACAGATGCTCTTAATAGTGGGCTGTGGCAGAGGCAGGCGGAGCTCTGCTGAGTTCCAGGAGTTTAGTTTCCACTAAAGCTTTGCAGAGATGTAAACAAAAATGTAATACCTCAGAGACTTCTAAACACAAAACACCACTGTTCAAACGGAAATGATTATTATTTTTTTGAAAACAGAGTTTTCAGTGCTGGGCGGTGCACGTCTTTAATCCCAGCACTTGGGAGGCAGAGGCAGGCAAATCTCTGGAAGTTCAAGGCCAGCCTGTCCAGGACAGCTAAGGCTACACAGAAAAACCCTATTTCGAAAAACCAAGGGAAAGAAAAAACAAAACCGAAAACTCCAAACACCAACAAGACCCACAAATGCTCTCCCCTCCTGCCCCTTATGTCTGTGTCACTCCTGTCACTCACACACAACACATTGAACTTGCCATCTCTCCCATTCGTCCTTGGTTCTCTGAACTCACAGTGAACATGTGTCTAAGGTTACACACATGGCTTTAGCGCAGGCATACAGCAGACACTGAAACCATGTTCAGAATGAGAAACCCACTCTTGTGACTGCACTAAAATGCTCTTATTTAGGAGAGAAACCAGCCACTCCAGCCACCACGGGTCATCCGCCGACAGGGTTCCCTACAGTAACATCTCTGGTGGATAGATCGGCTGAATTATGGCACCAGAGATGGTCTGCTGACATCTTCAGAGCAAAAGGTTAAATAAATCTTATATTTCTTTCCTGTTGTTTTCTTCTCTGTAGCTCTTGTTAGAAAGCCAAGGACACAGGGCTGGAGAAATGGCTCAGTGGTTAAGAACACTGGCTACTCTTCCAGAGGACCCAGGTTCGGTTCCCAGCACCCACATAGTCACTCAGAAATCATCTGCAGCCGCATTTCCAGGGATCTGATGCCCTCTTTTGGCCTACAAAGGCAGGAGGCATACATGTGGTGCACAACATACATGCAGGCAAAACACACAGGCAAAATAAAACTTAGCGAAAAAGAAAAAATAAAAAAGCCAAGGAAAGGTGGATGTGATGTACCTGAATCTCATGCCGCCTCCTGGTGCTGGCTGACAGCTTTTCTGGGGATATAATACTCACGGTGGGGACTACTGTTGTTCCATGGATTTCAAACAAACCTGAGGCAGAAAGTTTCATGTTATAGCCTTTATCTGGGCCCAGTTTCTAGAACATAGTAACTATAAAGAACTCTATTAGTGTACATCCGGTTATGGTTCTAGGGGCTAGAGCATATCTGGGCCTTCTTTCATCTTTTTGAAACAGGGTTTTGTTCTATACAAATATTTATAGACCAGGCTGGCCTCAAATGGCACCCTTTGCCTCAGTCTCCTGAGCGCTAAGATTACAGGTATGTGCCACCGTATCTGGCTTGAGATACATGTCTTCAATCCCTTGTATGGAGGAAACATCCACATTTCATGTGTACGGCAAACAGGGAAATGAAGGTTAAATCACATGTATGACAGCAGTGGTCAGCCAGACTAGGATTAGAGGATATCCTGAGCCCAGGCTGCGGTAGTGCATCCAGGATGTTGGGCACAGCTCATGTAATACAACCTTGTTGTCATGTTCCTTTAAAAGTGGGAAGGTCACAGCCTTAGTTCCTGTGTGCTCAGTGCAGACAACATAGCATTATAATTAACGCTTGGATTCCAATTAGTAATTATACCTGAAGCATTAGAAAACGACCCCTTCAGAGTTTGTACAGCAAGATTATCAGAAGCTTCTCTAAAAACAAGCAAACAAACAATTAGGAAATCGTCAATAAGGCAGAAAGCAACTCAGATAAGGGTGCGCTCACAGCATGCTGCCTTTCCTATTGAATATAAAAATAGGGGCCTCTTGGTTATTAGTTGGAGGGATAAAAAACCAAAACAACAGAAAATGCTCTTAGTGATCCTTATGGTCACGAGCAAGTTAAAAAAAAAAAAAAAGAATTAGGAAGGACATGATTCAGGTCAAGAAACACCTAAGAAAACATTCTGATTCTTTCAGCTGGGTCTGAAATCCTGGTTCCATATAGGCAGCTATTTTAATGAAATGTAATGGGCTAAGTCCACACTTTTTTGTTTATTTTAAAATTTTGTTTAGTTGTACTTAGATGTGTTTATTTTATATATATGAGACTTGCCTGTATGTACGTGTATGTATCAGGTGATCAGAAGAAGGTGTTGGATACCCTGGAACTAGCTGGAGCTACGGAAAGTTGTGAGTCACCCTGTGGGTACTGGTACTTGAACCGGGTTCCTCTGCAAGAGCAAGCTTAACCACTGAGCCATCTCTTCACCCCCAAGTACTTTTAGTTTTAATGATTGTACTTAGATAAATTAATATATAGGTGACTGAGTCATGTGTACATGAGCTCTTTCCCCAAAACCTATTATTAATGTATCTGTTGATTTGCACAGATAAAAACTGCCAAGAGTCTCACACTAAACAGACTGAGGGCAGACAGATGCTGACTTTTTAAAATGATTTTTAAAAACTGTGAAAATACTGCTATGGTTTGAAATAATTTAAATGTGTTTCTAAAAGTTCATGTGCTGGCAGTTTGGTCCCCAGAGTGGAGATATCGGGGTGGGGGGGCTATTAGATAATATTAAGTCACAGAAGCATGGCTTTGGCAGAGATTAACGATGGTTTTATGGAGTAAGTTCTCACAAATTCAGGTTGTTACGCAACGTTTGTCTTCTTCTGCCTGTGGCTGTTTACATTTCTTCATCTCTGTGTATTAGGGCACAGAGGGGGCTTTGCCAGAAGATAAATAGATGGGGCTGCTCAAGTTTGACTTTTGGAACAAATTATCAGCTAAATTACTTTTATTTTTCCTTTCTTTCTTTCTTTTTTTTCTTTTTGGTTTTTCGAGACAAGGTTTCTCTGTATAGTCCTGGCTGTCCTGGAACTCACTCTGTAGACAGGGTGGCCTTGAACTCACAGAGATCTGCCTGCCTCCCTCCCAAGTGCTGGGATTAAAGGTGTGTGCCACCATGTTATAAATACTACCATTTTGTTATAAAAAGAAGAAACATAATACAGAAAAGCAAAAATTCAAGCAAGATATGACAAGTCTTAGTCAAGTGACATAATTAAAATGTCAATTGAATTATTCAGAAGCACCAGAATTCTGATTCATCTGTCTCTCAAGAGAATCAACTTTAAATTTATGTAGAGTCTGTGCATAAGTCTTCTGGGATTTTGTTCTAAGTTACCTGACACTCCTTTCGTCACTGACTTTGGTCCTCAGTTTCTGCATGACGTGATCCACAAGATCAGATTCCAGCACACGCTTCTCTGTTTGTCTCTCCTTCTCAAAGGACTTGACCTCGGAAAGAACGGAACAGTTATCATTTGGAGGTTTCTGATGCCAAAAGGGGAGCTCATGCCCTAGGGAGGTGACTGGGTTTGTGGTCAGTGGGTCTTAACTGGGGTGATTTTGCTCTCTGGAGGGCATTTAGCAATGATTTTTTTAAAAAATAGCACTTTAAAAAATGTTATTTTATATATTTTGTGTGTATATGTGTATGCATATGGGTGCATGCATGCCATGGTGTGTGTGTGGTAGTCAGAACAACTTGCAGGAGTGGAGTCTCCCTTTATCATGTGAGTCCTGGAGATGGAACCTAGGCTTGACTGACAGGGGTGTTCCAGCATCCTGACATAGACCATTACAAGGTCAAGGTCAGAGATGAAGCAGTGATGAACCATATGGCTCCAAACGTTGAAAGTGTTGTTGCCGAGATACATTGGTTTGTTCAGGAATAGTTAGAGATGACAGAATTAAAACAAGAAATGGCCATGACAGCCATTCCCATATTCCTACATTATTCTCTTAAACATCCCGTCAGTCACCAGGGTGTGTCAGATGTCAGCTCTGCCTTCCTTTATAAACCAGACCCTCCCGTCTCATGTTCACAGTGCCGCCCTTTCACACTAACTTCTGGCCAGTGCCACCTGATGCAACTGTCCCATTGTTTTCAGTTCCCCTACTCTACCCAATAACATCCCTGCAAATAAACATTTTTCAAATTTAATTCTGACGTGCCCTTTATCCAGACTTCTACTGGCTTCCCACTGGCTACTACACCACATCCAAACTCCTTGATTTAGCTATGACCATTCTTGCCCGCTGAAATAAGTAGCCTTCATCCAAAATAGACTGCTGGGTGTAGTGGCACCCGTCCTTGGGCAAGTCAGAGCGGCAGCTGTCTACTCAAGATGCTCGGAGGATGGGGCCCTCAGAAGGGCGAGAGAGTTTACCTCTAGACATCCACCTCTCACCCCATCCACATGTACCCTGTCCCAGCTGCGCATGAGTGTGTAGATGGTGGGCTGGGACGGGGACTGTGGAGAAGCAGCTGTCAGGAGCTGTCATTGCTGCAGCTGCCTTTGAGTCACCCATGCTTTTGTAAGTAATCTCAATCTCACTGCTTCACCAAGCTGGACTTGGATAAAATAGTTTACTTATCCTCTCTGGGGTATGTGGCTACTTCTGCACAACTCCTTGGGAAAAGTAAAAGTCACACATTGGATGGAATCAGAATATTCTCTCTCTCTCTCTCTCTTTTTTTTTTTCGAGACAAGTTCTCTGTGTAACAGTCCTGACTGTCCTGGAGCTCTCTCTGTAGTAAATGTGTAAAAGTCACACACTGGATGGAATCAGAATATTCTCTCTCTCTCTCTCTCTCTCTCGTTTTTTTTTTTCGAGACAAGTTCTCTGTGTAACAGTCCTGACTGTCCTGGAGCTCTCTCTGTAGACCAGGCTGGCTTTGAACTCAGAGAGATCCGCCTGACTCTGCCTGAGTGCTGGGATTAAACACATATGCCACCACCGCCCAGCCAAAATCAGGATATTTCTAAAGATGTGTCCCTATCTTTGAGACAGCCTACTACTAACACCATGTGACTTTTGCTATGCCCTCTGAGTAAAAGGCCCTTCAGCACACACCTATCGCCTGCAATCTGTGTGTCTAGAAACCCCACTACCTACCTGCTACCACCTTCTAGGCTGGGAATGTTTTTTGTAGGATGCTGATTAGCATTTCCTTGCTCATAATCATGCAAAAAAGTCAATGTTCCCCATCAAATTATATTTGCACATCCATGTTTATTACTGCCATAAGAACAACAGCTAAGAAAGGGAACCAGCAGAGGTTCCATGTCACTATCAGTGGATGAGGATAACGTGGTACATAACACACAAAGACGTTTTTTCAGCTGTAGTGGAAATAAAATCATGGTATTTGCAAGAAGATGGGTGCAACTGGCAATTATGACGTTAAGCAAAATGAGCCAGATACAGACAAATGCTGTGTGTGTTCTTTTATGTGGAATCTAGAGGAGTGTGTGTGTGTGTGTACACTCAGGCTCACAAATAGACGGAATCACAAAGTAAGACAGATCTTAGTGGGTGTGGAAAAGGTAATGGAATCCAAATGACATGAAACCAAAAGGAAGGACCTGGAAGAAGGAAGGGGACCAGAAAGAAGAGGGTAGGCTGGGTAGAAGGGACAAGAATAAAACCAAGTGCAATGGCAGGTATGTATGAAAATGCCACTTGGAAACCTAGCATTTGTATGTTAGTTTAATAATAAAATGATGTGTGAAATTAAATATGCTATGTTAAAATGAAGAAAGGGAAGACGCAAATTACTAGTATCAGGAGCCAAAGAGGGCTCCCTGCAGAACTAAGAGAGAGTGGAAAAAACAAGAAAAAACCAGGGAATACCTGAGATGGTCACAGTGAAACTAGGATGGAAAAGATAAAGTTCCCAGCTCATCCTGAGAGAGGCGGCTCAGTTGCTATAGATGTAGGCTGGCATGGGTTTTGTTCACTTGTTTTATGTTTTAAGTATGTCTATGCTATTTATGTGTGTGCAGGTAGTGCACATGAGTGCAGATTGCCTACGGAGGCTGGAGGTGTTGGATCCTCTTGGAGTTGGAGTTACAGGTGGTTGAGTCCTGATGTGGGTGCTGGGAATCAAACCCAGGACCTCTGAAAGGGTGTTCTTACCACTGAGCCGCCTTTCCAGCCTGGCCCGTGTGGTTTTGTAATGATCATACCACATATCTGTGGTGCAATTCTCATTATAGTTGTATACAAAATCCTACAGAAAACACAAGTCCAACTCATATATAAGACTCTGCTATCAAAACCTGACAATATTGCAAGAGAACGAGGGATAAAAAGGTCAATTTTTTTACCTTTACAAATAGTATTTAAAAGGAGTCATGAGGTGGTAGGTTTATGGACACTTTTAGTCAGGTACATCAAAGTCAGACTGTGTAGGACGAATCCAGAAGACACGCTGGTAACAGGCTCAGCTCTCCTCAGAAAAGAGCTGGCTCAGTGGCTCAGCACACTGGCTGTTTTTGCAGAGGGCCTGGGTTTGATTTCCATGTGACAGCTCATTACCATCTGTAACTCTAGTTCTAGGGGGATCTGATGCCCTCTTCTGACCTCCATGGGCACTGTACACATACATGGAGGCAAAACACCCATACATGCAAAATAATAAGTTTAAAAAAAAAGTCTGATATTATTTACTTTTTTCAGGAAGACGACCAGGCATGCTAGCGAGAGTTCAGAGTCAGAAAGAAGGGAGAGCATACTTTCCAACACTTCAAGGCAACATACTTTGGGGGAAATGCTAGCTGATTTCCCAGTGGTCTCACCTAGGCAAGGCAAGTATTTGGCCCCGAGACACATCTCCAGCTCACTATCTTTACCTTAACATGGCTTCCTTCTTTATCAGAGACCAGGGCCACATAGGTGATTTCATGATGTCTGCAGTACTCCTGTAACTCTTCTTGGGACTGAAACAAACAGTGAGACAAATGAACACAGTGTGCCTGGACCCCCTTCCACTTGTATTCCCAAAGTGAATTACTAAATATGCTGACTTCAGGGGACAGGAATGTTAGGGAAGAGGAGCACAGAATTCCAGGAAGGAATTCTTTTGTGCTTTCCCTTTCATGGGAAAACTTTCATGATTGTTTTGAAGGACATCAAACAAGTAATGTAGTTGTGACAGGAAGAGATTTTTAGTGGCTTCAAGTCTTAACAAAAGGTGCCAAGAACTGTAACATACACAGCCTTTTAGGAAAGTAGAGGAGTCAGGAAACCATAGAAGGCAGAAAGCAGAATTAAGCTGGGTATTATGGTTCTTGCCTGTAACCTCAGCACTCAGGAGTCTAAAAACAAGAGGATGGTCTATCCCCTAAGAACCTGGCTCACAAAACAGAAATAAAGCAACAGAATACTTTTCTAACATGAAAAAACAATTGATGCTTTTTCTATCACATGATTAAAAACCGATGCTTAGCATTCTGACAGCAGCTTTTATATGAACACACACAGCAGCTGCAGAAGGCTCACAGTCAGAGACTTGGCCTGTCTGTGTTCCTGGTCATTGCTGAGTCCTGGGGTGCCATTAGTGTGGATAATCTAGAAGCACCCCTCCCTCCATGATCTGTCTGTGATAGTGCAGACACTGGGTATCTGAAGCTCCCACCCCCAATTCTGAAGGGCAGGCGGTGTCTGGGGTGCCACTTTCCTCACCTCCACACCCATGGCAGGAGGAGGTCTGCAGACTTAGACACACCAAGCCTAGAGCAGAGCGCCTGCCCTCTGTAGGGAGCTAGCCATGGCCCCATGCAGATGTCCACATCCTAGTCCCTGGCACCTGCCAGTGATTGCCCTGGGCCATCTCAGGCTGAGACTGGCAGAGGTGAGGACAGGAGCCTCAGGGAAGAAGCCGCCACACTGCTGAGTTTAAAAGGGAGGGAGGGCAAGGAACAGATCCATCCCTAGGGTCCTGCCAATATTAACCGGGCTCCCAACTTCCAGGAAATTAAGCAAACAAAACCACTAAGCCCCTGGGTTTGTGGTCATCTGTTATAGGAGAAACCAGAAGTTAATGGAGAGAGTTAACTGTTTGATAGACTCTGGGTGTACACTCTGGCAGGCATGTCCAAGTTTTTTTTTTCTTTTTGAATGTAATGTATTTAATCTTTATGTGTATGTCTTTGTGTATGTATGCCTACATGTGTATAGGTACCTGCGGAGGCTAGAAGGGGTTGGATCCCTGGAGCTGGAGTTACTTGCTGATGTAAACCACTTGACATGGGTGCTGGGAACAGAACTTGGGTCTTCTGGAAGAGCAGCAAGGGCTGCTAATCACTGAGGCCTCTCTCCAGCCCCTATGTCCAACCTTCTGACAGTGGAGTTAGATAGACTCCCGAGAGGTAGGCAGATATGGGAAAGGCAACACAAATAGGGAACACAAAAGATAATAAAGATAGCAAGCGTCCAGCTTCTTTCTTACTGTCATGACCTGAGACAAAGACCTAACAGTATGGCCTGCTGTCAGCAGACTGCGCTAACAAGTCCAAGGCTAGACCAGGACACAGTTTTCCAAAGTTTTGGGCCTATCAGCTTCCCTGTCTTTGTTTAAACTGACCAACCCTAAATAAGGGGACAAAGACTACTCAAAGACCCTTCAAACTCCCAGCTCTCAAGGAGACTGGACTTGAGGCTCCAAAACCCGCCTCTGCACAGTTGAGGGTCTCTCTATGTGCCTTGCTGTGTCTGAGATTTTCCCTCCTGCTTACTGTTGTGCTCGAGATTTTTTTCTTGCCTTTAATTCTTTGCCAATTGAGACCCCGAGACAGTACCAGTATCAACTACAAAGCTCACCCTTGAGAACCTCACCACTGAGCCATAAGTAAGAAGCAACAACAAAAATCTCAGTGTTGTAAATAGACTTAGGATTTGGCTGGCCCTATGGTTCAGGTGGCCTTGGGCTGACGTGCCTGTGAAGGGTTGATCTGTCCTCATCCTACAACATTTACACTTCACTCACAGCCTTCTGTCCCTTACCTGTGACCAGTCATACATGATCTCCGCAGTGATTCCCGCTGTCCAGAGTTTCTGGGTTAGGTTGATGGCCCTGGACATGGACATCTGGCCGACGCTGACGACCAGGAGGTCACAGGAACTTACTGTAACCTGATAAGAAACAGCAGTTACCCAGGGGACACTGCAGCTGTGGGAGAGCAGCACCCTGAGACTGTGCAGAGCTGGCTTTGGTTTAAGATGACATCGAGAAAACAAGACAGTTAAAAGAACTTTACGTTTGTCTTTTAACAGACATTTCAGCTTCCTTCACCATAGGAAGGTACAGTCCTTCCCCTCTCTGGGAAAATGGATCTCGCCTGAAATGGGGAAAGCCATTTCTTAGCTTTATAGACTATAGCTGGATTTTTGATCAAGTGCATTGACAAAAATGTGTTAGGAGCCAGACTATTTTATCTATACAGTGTATTACAGATGTGGAGAGAGGCAGGAGAGGTGCCTGGATCAGCAGCAGCCAGAGAGCAGGGGACAAGTGCTGAGATTCAAGGACCACACAACTCTTAGGCTGGATCACAAGGCCATTTCCAAAACACGCAGGCCACAGCTGCCACATTTTCCTCAAGTCATAGAGTCATCAGAGATGGGTTTTTCTATACTAATGAAATAACTGACAGGAGTAGGAGTTGGTGGGGGGTTGACCCTTGGGCAGACTAAGGCAGGCAGGATAAAGGGTGGGGCTATCAGACACAGCCCCAGTGCCTGGGAGAAGAAGGGGCTAAGTGGATCACTGTTGACATAATCAGCTCTGCTATGCAGTGAAGCCTCCACAAACCCACAAAGGTTCAGAGTGCTCCGCAGTAGAGGAAGGAGGCTCTGGGAGGGCAGCCTGTGGATCCCCAGAGGATGGTGCTCAGAAGGCAAAGCTTGGTGTGCCTTCCTGAAGAGCCCACACCGTGTCCTCATCTCCGCACTTTAATATCCTTTATATTAACCTGGTCAGCAGTGTTTCCCTGAGTTCTGTCACCTGCTCTAATTAATGGTTGAACCCAAGGAGGAGGTGATAGGACACTGAGCCACAGTGAGTCAGGTGACAGACAAAGCAAATGGGGCTTCTGTCTGGCACTGGAAGTGGAGGGGTAGACTTGGGGACCAAGCTCTCTTAGTCGATGTGTTCTGCCATTGCCACCATGTGAGTGGCTAGAGTCACAAGGGAAGGGAACCACGTCCAGCTCATGTCTGCGGCTGTGATAGTCCTCATTGCGAGTGAGAGTGTAACTGGGGAGGCCGAGCAGTGGCGATGTCTCAAAGCATGCTGGGAAGCAGCAGGACTTACAGGCTCTTCCATGTTGAGGACAGCAGCAAAAATCTTGTCTATGGCTATGCTGACACCCACAGCAGTAGGGACTGGCCCCAGAGCCTGTGGGCCTCTGAACTTGGGGATCTGTGGATAGACCAGAGGGCTGGTTATGAAATAGGCAAATATGTTGTGGGGAAAGCAATAGTAAAATAGCAAGCTCTCAAAAGCCTGGCATGAGGGTGCATGCCTATAATCCTAGCATTTGGGGACAGAGACAGGAGGAGGATCAAGGGTTCAAGGCCAGCCTTGGGTACAGAGAGAGTCTGAGGCCAGCCTGGGCTGCATGAGATGTTGTATACAAACAAACAAACAAACAAAAAAGCTCCCACAAACAAAACAAAAAACCCAACAACTTCCCCTGTAAATAAAACCAAGTTTTGTGTCAGTAATTAAAGAATTCAACAACAACAACAAAAACACGGGGTATGTGTGTACAGAGAATTGAGCATGCGTTCAAATTTAGGAAAATATTAACGAGTATTTTGTCTAGATCCAAATGGTTCACTGTGCTAGCTGCTAGCTCCATGTGGCTACCAAGTATCAGAAATCCCCAAGTTGACATGTGCTGTGTGTGTAAAGTACATGCTTGCTGCAGAGACTCAGAATGATTAAAACCAAATTTTAGAAGTTTCAGTACTTGTTGAAATAGTACTTGGGATATAACAGGCTAAATAAAACTGTCGATAGAATTAACCATGTCCCCCTTTCTTTGGTTTTTCAAGACAGGCTTTCTCTGTGTAGCCCTGGCTGTTCTGGAACTTGCTCTGTAGACCAGGCTGGCCTCAAACACAGAGATCCACCTGCTTCTGCCTCCCGAGCACTGGGATTAAAGGCATGGGCTAGTATCACCCAGTTACCAATCTATTTATTAGTTAACATCACACATGGTAGGTTCTGGGCTGTGATAGAGTAGATGTGTATCTCTCTGCTGTTTCTGAGCACACTGAGAACCCTGACCATCATAGAGCATCAAGTGAGAAGCCTTCGAGTGTGTAATGACTGTGGCGGGGGCTCTGGAGGTCTACATGATGGAACAGCGCAGAGAACTCAGCGTGCCCATGACAGTCTACAGTCTGTGCTAAGTGATTTGCGTCAGGGAAGGAAATGTGTAAAGGGTCTCGGAGATCTATTCATAAAATCTTTGCAGTTTCCAATAAGCCTCAAATTATTTATTATTACTATTATTTTGTAGTGTGTGTATCTGTGGAGGTCAGAGGACAACT